ATATGTTTTGCATATTTATTAGTTCATTCATAAACATTATTATTATTTTTTGCTGCTATTGTAAATGGGAGGTTCCCTTCCATTATATCTTCTACTGAGTTACTTTTTACCATTGAGTAAATGCCAGCTTTAGTACTGAGGTATTAATTTTTTTTCAAGTTAATGATATATTATTCAATTCCTAGTTTTATTTAGTGATTCTCTTTGCTCAGTGGTATGTTAAAGTTTTTCTGTCAAACTATTTTTCAGAGTAATTGAACAATTTTATATTTTCACCAGTAGTTTATAAAATTCCACTTGCTTTACATCCTTGCTAATATTATGTATGATCAGTCTTTTTTCATCGGACATATTTAAATAAATGTATAGTGATATTTCCTATGCTTTTACTTTCTACTTCCCTAATAAAATGTTGACCATTAATTCATTTGCTTATTTGCCATCCATATATTTTCTTCAGTTTATGTTCTAATCTTTCAACCTGGATTCCTTTTATTTATTTTCTTTTTTCCTTTTTTGGTCTGGTCGCATTGGTAGTACAATGTTGAATAGAAGTGGTAAGAGCAGACATCCTCGTCTTGTTCTTGACCTTAAGAAAAGAGCATTTAGTCTTTTACCATTAAGTATGATGTTACCTGTAGATTTTTCATTGAAGTCTTTAGGGTTTAGAATTTAAAAAATTCCCTTCTATTTTTGTTTGCTGAGAGTTTTTATTAGTAATGGACACTGGATTTTGTCAAATGCTTTTTCTGCATCTATTTAGATGACCATATTTTTTCTTCATTAGTGTGTTCTATGGTGAATTACATTCATTGATTTTTGAATGTTAAAAAATCTCGCTTTCTTGAAATTAAACCCCATTTGACCATGAGTTACTTTTTTATATTGTTGGATTCAATTTCCTAAAATTTTGTTTAAAAATTTTATACGTATTTTCATGTGGGATGTTGCTCTGTAGTTTTCTTTTCTACCAAAGTGTTTGCCTAGTTTTGGTATCAGAAATGCTTGCCTCATAGAATGAGACAGGAGGTATCCCCTTTTCTTAAACTTTCTGGAAAAGTCTGTGTAGAATTTGCATTATTTTTTTCCTTAAATGTTTGGAACAATTCACCAGTGAAGTCACTGAAGCCTGGAATTTTCTACAAATTAAATTTGTGTAACAGAAATAGTGCTATTCAAATTTTCTATCATCTTAAGTGAGCTTTGGTAATTTGTGTCATTCATGTAATTATCTATTTCATCTAAGTTGTCAAATTAAAGGCATAATTTTTTCATTATATTACTTTATTATCCTTTCAATATCTATAGTATAGTGATGTTACTGCTTTTGGTTCTGATATTAGTAATTTGTGTTTTCTCTTTTTATTGTTGATCAATCTGAGCAAGTTTATCACTTTTATTGATCATGCAAAGAATTGGCTTTGGTTTCAATTATTTTTTCTATCGCTTTGGTTTTTTATTTGATTGATTTATGCTCTAAACTCTTTTTATGCTCTATTTCCTTTCTATTTCCTTTCCTCTGGTACTTTGGGGTCAACTTATTCTTTTTTCTTTTTTTTTTTTAAAGTGAAAGCCGAGGTCACTAAATGAAACTTTTCTTCTTTTCTAATATAGGTGTTTAGTGCTATAATTCTCCTCACTAAATACTGCTTTGGCAGCATATCACAAATTCTTGAATGTTCTGCTTTTGTTTAGTTGAAAATACTTTCTAATGTCCCTAAATACCCCCGATGGTATTTAGAAATGTGATATTTAATTTCCGAATATTTGGAGATCTTCCAGATAACTTTCTGTTATTGATTTTTAATTTAATTCCAATGTATCAGAGAACACACTTCATATTACTTAAATCCTTTTAAATATCACAAGCCATATTTTATTGTCCAGAATATGGTCTAATTTGGTAAATGTTCTCTGTGCACTTGAAAAGAATGTATATTCTACTGTTGTTGGAGAGTGTCAATCAGGTCAAGGTGGTTAATAGTGTTGTTAAAGTCTACCATATACATGCTGATTTTGTCTACTTGTTCTTTAATCATAGAGAGGAGTATTAAAAGTCTGACTTAAATACATTTTAGAATTATTTCTCCTAACAGTTCTATCATTTTTTTGTTTCATATAAGGATTGTCTGACCCCTTAGCATGATATTACTTTCTTTATCCATGGTAAGATTCTTTGCTCTGAAATGTACTTTTATATTTACATTCATGTAGCCAATGTCAGTCATCATGGTGTATCATTTTCCATTCTTTTACTTTTGCCCTATTTGTGTCTTTATATTTACAGTGTAATTTCTTGCAAAGAATATATAATTGTGTCTTGCTTTTTACCAATATGACAATCTCAACCTTTTAATTGGGGCATTTAGACCATTTATAATTAATTTGATTACTGACATGGTTGGATATAAATCTTCCATATTGCTATTTGTTTTCCATTATTTTAGTGGTTGCTTTGGGATTCACAGTAAACATATTTAACTTGTCTTACAATAGTATACTTAAGATTCCTTCCCTCTTAGCTTTCAAGCTTATTGTTATCATGCATTTTACTTATACATCTGTTAAACATTTCTACAATGCAATATTATTACTGTTGTTTATACAAGATCTTTCATAGAGATTTAAAAAATAAGAAAAAACATCTTATGTCTATATGTATGTAATTAGAATTTCATTCCTTTGTGTAGATCTGTAATTCCATCTGATATCATTTTTCTTCTGCTTGATGGACTTTCTTTAACATTTCTTGTAGAGAGTCTGTTGGTGACGAATTCCTGCAGCTTTTGTATGTCTGAAAATACCTTTATTTCGCCTTTGTTTTGGGAGATATTTTTGCTGCATATAGAATTCTAGGTTGACAGTTTTTTCTTTTGGTACTTTAAAGATGTTACTCAACTTTCTTGCTTGCATTATTTCTGACAAGAAAATATGTCATTGTTATCTTAGTTCCCCTCTACATAAAGTATATTTTTCTCTGGCTGCTTTTAAGATATTCTCTATCACTACTTTTAAGCATTTATGAAATGCCTCTGTGTAATTTTCTTCTTGTTTTGTTTTTCTTTTTGCAGTGAGTCACTGAACTTCTTAGATCTGTGAATTTATAGTTTTCATCAATTTTGGAAAATTTTTAGCCATTATGTCTTCAGATATTTTTCTCTTCTCCCATCTGGTCTCTCCTTTGGTCCCTCCAATTACACAGTCTATGAAATTATCACATGGTACTTGAAGTTGTCCTATGGCTCAATGATGTTCTTATAATCTTTAAAAAACCTTTTTTTCTTTGTGTTTATTTTGAACAGTTTCTACCGCTATGTCTTCAAGTGACCAGTATTTTCTTCTACCATTAATACCATCCAGTGTATTTTTTATTTTGCATATAGTAGTTCAATATGAGTCTTTCTTTATATCTTCTATGTCTCTGCTTAACTTTTAAACATATGGAATACAATTAAAATAACTGTTTTAATGTTGTTGTCTGCTATTCTAAAGTCTGTATAAGGTTCTGAATCTGTTTCATTGATCGATTATTCTGCTCATTATTGGTTATGTTTTCTTGCCTTTTTATATGCCTAGTTTGATCAGATGCCAGACATTATAAATTTTACCTGTTGGGTGCTGGATATTTTTATATTCTCTTCTTGTGCTTTGTTCCTTGATGTAGTTAAGTTACTTGGAAATAGTATGATCATTTTGAGCCTTGCTTTTACAATTTGCTAGACAGGTCCAGAGCAGTGCTCACTTTAAGGCTAATGATTTCCCACTAGTGAGCAAGATCTTCCTCAGTATTCCACCCAATGCCACATGAATTGAGATTTTCCAGTCTAGCCGGTGGGATCAAGTACTATTCACAGCCCAGTATGAGCGCCAGGCTCTATTCCTTTTAATCCTTACAGATGGCTTTTCCTTTGGCTTTGGGTAGTTTCCTCGCGTGCAAACACTGAACAATAGTACTTTGCTGAATACCTGGAAGGAGATCTCTACAGATCTTTGCTGTTTTCTTCCTATGCAGCTTTCTCCTCTCTGGCACTGTCCTGTAAATTCCAGCCACCTTGGTTTCCCTGGATTCTCAGCTCCATCTCCTCATATTAGGGAGTCTTTTGGGCTTGACCTCGGTTCCCCTTTCCTGGGCCATGGTCTCAAAACTCTCTTAAGGCAGTAAGCTGGGAAATCATAAGGGGCTCAACTCATTTGTTTTCCATCTCTCCGAGATCACTGTGTTTGGTTGCCTGATCTTCAGCAACTTGAAAACAATTGTTTAATATATTTTGTCTTTTTAAGTTATTTTAGGTGGGAGTATGAATTTAGTCCCTATTATTTCAAATGAGCAGATGCCCTGAATTTGTACTTTTATTTAGAGCACAGACAAAATTCAAACTCAGAGTAAAAGCTGACAGTTTGAGGAAATAACCATTACTGCTAAAGGAAGGGAGATGTAAATAACTTCTAATTTTTAGCTTTGTTTAGCAGCAGTACACTTCTTTGCTTGCCAGCGTTATCATGTCCTAATATAGTCAACATCATCTATGCATTGTGTGGGGCACTTAATCCTAAATGGGAAGCTCTGGTTGACCTCTGATGAGTTCCTAAATTACTGCCCCTCATGGGACTCAGTGCCAGTGTTTTTATGGAAAGAGAAGATTGTGGCAGGGGTGTTGGGTACAGAGAAACAAATACTGCTTTACTTTCAAGAACTGTCTAAGGGCTATAACTGCTTCCTTTGTCTGAAAAGAGCTATAGTAAAAATTAGTTATTGTTTTCAGTAACACAGAATATCTTCAAGGAGGTGAAGAAGGAAAAGGTGTTACTTAGGATGAAGTTGAGGAGAATGTGTGCTGCCAAAACTCATAGTGAGTCTTGAGTTTCATTCTTCTCATAGGAGTTTATTATGGGAGCTTCAGGTAAGAAGGACAAGGGCTCCCGCCTCATGTTTTGCTTGTCTAAGGGCCAAAATAATCCTACCTGCCTCCCACCTACTGAAGATGTTGAGAATCAATTACCTGCTTGAAGCAATGGACAGGCGCTGGGACTGAACATGTTTCTTTTAGGTATTTGTCCCAGGTAAAATGACCTGTAAAGGAAATAGAAATCTCTATCACAGTCAACTTCCTAAAAAATGCTTTCAGGATGTAATCTATACTAAACATTAGGCTATTTTCAGGCTTGTTTGGAGCATAAAAAATTTTATTTTTCCCTGTTTGGGTTCAAAGGAATATTAGGGGGAGGAATCTAGGTGACCTGAGTAGATTATTTTAGGTCCTAAGTGTTTTTAAATTGTGGTCTAAAGATGGCCTGAAGTGTTTTTCACATTAGTTCCTAAAGTGATCCAAAATGCCAGAGCAAGATACACAAGTGTCTCAAAGAAGTGCCCAGGAAGCATGTGGAAAACAGAAGTAGAAAGTGGGTGAGGAGATTCCTCCTGAACAACCTGACTCCTGGAAAGCTCCTTTGATGCCATCAGGTGAAAGCTTTTAACAGCCAATATGGCTGGATCCTTTTTCAGCTCAGAAAGAATGAATAAAAGGCTATTTGGAGACATTAGGTAAGGACTTTAGGGCAGAAAAAGCCAAATGAGTGAGATTATACTGAATATTCACTCTAAAAACTGGCTCTCTCTCACCCATCCCCATTTCACTTCTATCCCTGTCACTGTTGCATTGCGCTGAGGTGCAAAATGACAAAGATCTGATAATTTAGAGAAAAGTAAGTCCCGGGTAGTATTTCTGATGACAGTAACTAAGAATAAATTGGGGGGTCTACAGAATCTTTTCGCCTCTTGAAGATCCCTTTGAGTCTTTCAAAGTTTAAGGAACACTGCGCAAGAGAAACAATCTTTAAAGTGACGCTATGCTGGGCCCAGGGAAAACATTTTTAAGGGACAAGCTGTTAAATATATATCTCATCGGACCACAAAATAAAGGTTAAACCAGTTACCAATCTCCCCCTAATACCCACCTAGAGGAGACCCCATGGTGGAGCAGGGAAGGTCTCAGAGACTCTCATAAGCTAAAACACTGTAGCAAACCAGCATTTCTTGAGGTTTCCTCTGCAGTGGAGCAGCACAGAGCCCCTTTGGGCCATGCAAAAAGCACTAGATGCTGGGAATAAAAATGAGTCACTGTATGATGAAATCTAAATCACTTTAAAGATGATGCCAAGACTTTATACTCTATTGACTTTATAGCTTCTGTTTTAAAACTGGTCCCTTTCCCACCACTCTTAACCAAGCCAAATAAATTTGGCTAGAAATTACAGTCAGTTCTAAACCATTACATGAACTGGCCAATGATTAATCATCTTGAAGAGAAAGTTAGTCCAAAGGGTAAATGAGATGGATATTTCATGGAGTCAAGATTTAAGGAGCTTATCAGTATTTAATAAAGAGTTTGCTCTTAGCTGAGACAGTCCTAAAGCAAGAACTGAATATATTTCATCACTACTTGCTGTTATAAAAAGGAGACATTACAAATTATTATTCCATACTTACAAATAAAGGATTAAATAAAACAATAAGTCTTGAATTTGACTGGGCTGCAACTCCTGAACTCTAGCATCTATAGCAGCACTGTCCACTGAAACTTTCTGCAATGATAGAAATGTTTTGTATTTCTGCTGTCTCATAATGTAGCCTAGCCACGTGTACCTACTGAACACTTAAAATGTGGCTAGTGTGAATGAGAAATTGAATTAAATTTTAAATTTAATTTAACTTTAATTTTAATACCTATATGTAGCTAACAGCTACTGTTTAGGCAGTGCAGGTCTAGAAGTTTGGTCAGTCTGGGTAATTGCTTGTATTAGCTTGAGTTCTGACCAACAGCACCCAAGAGACTTTGGTTTTAAGAATTACAGCAGCATCAGGAGTACCAAATTAATTAGGGAATTAATCACAGTTCTATATTACACATATCAATTATGGTAATCAATCTGTTATACAGGCAAGAAACCTCATGTCTGTCCTCATTTAGGGAACATCCTATTACCAACTGAATGAAAAGGAATCTCTGTGAAAAACAGTTCACCCACTATGAGGGTTGACTGGTTTGAATCATCAGATAGTCTTTCTTTTTTTTTTTAACGCCTACAGCACCTGGTATTCCTAGGTGGTCTCCCATCCAAGTACTAACCAGGCCTGACCCTCCTTAGCTTCCGAGATCAGATGAAATCGGGCACATTCAGGGTGGCATGGTTGTTGAATCATACTTAGATTAGTATCTCTCTTATATTTGACTGCACAGGCTATATAAGGCTTAGTCCCTTATTATCAGGTAAATTGCAAAATAAGTTAAATTTTATTGACTCAATAAGAATATCTGAGCACCTACTATAATGCTCATAATGGATCCAAACATCATGTCTCCCATATTTCCAAGCAAACTAAAGGACTGGAGAGTAAAATTTTATGTTTTGTGGGCCATACAGTCTCTATCACAAATACTCAATTCTGCACTGTAGCGTGAAAACAGCCATAGACAATCTGTTAATGAATGAGCATGACATGCTTCACTAAAACTTTATTGACAAAAACAGGCAGCAGGCTGGATTTGATCCCCAAACAGTAGTTTGCCAACCCCTGGTATATTATCATTGATTCCTAAATGTGGCTTATCATCAGAATCTCCTGAATAATTTTTCTCATTTCTTTAAACAGAGCTCTGGGCCCTATCTTCAGAGGTTCTCATTTAGACTATGGGTATAGTATGAGAATCTGTATTTTCAAAGCCTCGCTAGGTAATTCTGATTAACATCTGTGTCTAGAAACTACTAGTGTAGTTGAAAGAATGTGATATTGAGAGTCATAAGATGCTAGTTAAAGTCTTGTTTCTATAAATAACTATCTTGATAAATTACTTAATCCATCCAAGCAACAGTTTACTCATCTAAAGATGGAGATAATATGTATCTCACAAGACTGTACATACACTCATTCATTCAATAAATATTTACCAAACTTCCCAGTGTAAAATCACTGTGTTAAATGTTAGGGGAACAAGATAGACATTGTTCCTAAATTCATGGAGCTTGTAGTCTAGCGATAAGCAGAGATATTAAATAAATAACAAAACACATAATCTAGTATAATTATGATAAATTTAAGTTAATAAGGTAGTATAGGTTGCTTTGGGAATGTAGAACAGGGAAATCTAATTTATACTTAGGGTCTTGAATTATTGTGAAGATTAACATTATTAACTAATATAAGTATGTTTTATAATTTACAGAGTGATTTCAATTATTCATTCAACTGATATCTGAGTATCCTCTATGTATCAAATTCGAAGTGCTAGAATAAGGCAAGAGATACCTGCTCTTATAGAATTTACATTCTGGTGCATGATGAGATACAATTAACACACAAACAAATGAAGTAATAAGTGACAAGTACTTAAAGTTATTAAAATAATGTGATGTGATAAATAGAGAATGGAAACTATCTTAAGGGACAGGCTGTTAAATATATATCTCATCGGATATATATTTAAAGTTATGGACAGATGCTCTACAGAAGGAATATTTGAGCTGAGACTTTACAGATGAGAAAAAGCCAGCCATCTCATTTATGTTACTGAATAATGCTAATGAAAGTGTTTTATAAACTATAACATACACATCATGATAGTTACATGTACTAGGAAATAAGATCCCTGCCCTGAAGAGACTTACAAACTAAATAGAAGTATTTTTTAAAAAGTAAGAGTTCCCCAAAATGTAAAGCATAAGAGATCCACCTAGTTGAATGTGTGAATCCCTTTCTCCAATATTCATTCATTCAACAAATATTTACTGAGCACCCACTATATGCCAAGCCCGGTTCTAGGCACTGGTGATACATAGCAAAGAACAAAATAGCCAAAGTCTCTGTCCACATGGAACTTACATTATAAGGAGAAGAGAGAGAATAAATAAACAAACGAACATATATCAGTTGGTCCAGAAGATAACAGAGACACCAGATAATAATTGTACAATTCCTGGCCCTCTGCAAATAAAGAAATAATAAAGCAAGGTAAGCAGGAAAGAGAGTGCCAAGAACATGTGCACTAATTTAGGCAGGATGGTCAAGAAAGGAATCTTGATGAGTTGACCCAACCAACAGTTAGGACCTGAAAGGTTCCTCCAGTGCCTTGAATACTTACAATGATGAGAAACTCATTATTCACTATTGTTTAATGGTACAAATGGACAGACTTTAACCTCTACAGTCAGTCAAAGTCTGCCTTCTCCTAACCTCTACCCACTGATCCCTGACATAATATATCTAATCTCTCTAAATATGTCTCAACTGCTAAATATTTTCCTTAACTACTGCTAATTTGACATGTCAGGTATCTCCACTCATGGCTACTGTTCTAGCCACATTCCTCTACAAGAACTCTACTTTATTCCATCTAAAGTGTGCAACCCAAATTCCTAAGAGCAATAAAAACACTCATAGTTTTTAGACCAGAAATTCTACTCCAAGATTATTATGTGAAAAGTGTTCAGCTGTTTCTATGTACCATAATTTACATAACGATAGTATTTGTTAAATACTATTGATTGTCATTTAAGTGTTTTGTAATTTTTAATGAGTATCTTTGTATACATACCTTTTAACACTTTTAAGATTGTTTCCTTAGGACAAATTCCTTAGAGTGAGATTAATGGACAAAGAGTAATATTTTATTTTGATGCAATATAATTCCTGCCAAGGGTACATAAAAACCATGTTTCTTTTATCCTTGCTAAAATTCTTTTATCCATTTCTATAATTCTGATAAATCTTACCAGTGGAAAAAAAAATGTTATACTTTTATGTGCAATTCTTTGATTACTAATAAAGTTGAAGATCTCTTTAGGCTTATTAGTCAGTTTGTATTTTATTTTTGCCATTTTTCACAAAGTCTTCTTTTATTTTCTCACAGATTCTAAGAGTTCTTTATAGATTAAGGATATTGGTCCTTTATCAAATATGTTGAAGACATTTGTCTCAGTCTGATAGGATTTGCCCTTAAATTTCTGTCTTCTTTTATAGTTTCTTCATTTTCATATCATGCTCTCCTCACTTCAATATTACAATGTTAACCCATGTTTTCTTCCGGGATTTCTCAAGGTTCATTTTATTACATTTAAGTGTTTGATCTATCCGTAATTTATTTTGTGAGACAAATGTGGCAAAAATATAGCTTTCCTTTTAACCTTTATTTCACAAATGTGCTTTGACATCATTTATTGAATAAATCATCTCCTCCCCACTGATTTGAAATGTCACCTCGACCATATGTTAATTTCTTAAATACACTTGAATCTATTTCTGGACTCTATATTCTGTTCCTCTTATCAGTCTATTCCAGCACCAGGAGTACTTTATTTCATATAATTTCATGATCAATTTAAATATCTGATAACGCAAGTCCTTTTCATAAGTCATATTCTTAACTCTATGCTTTCTTGACACTTTCAAATGATTAATAAGTTGTGGCACATCCAATTTGAATAAAACACAGTGATTCTAAAATGTCCAAAGCTAAGTTTATGAGATACATAGTAGTTCATTCTCAAAACATTGTCCATGGGTTTTTTAGATCAATAGTTTGATATCTGTGAATAGATTATCTAAAGATAAAACACCAAATTGAAAAGAGAATTTCTGATTTTACCTGTCTTCCCAGAACAAACCATCCATTTCCCTATCTCCTATAACATCATGCTCATACCTTTACTTTCACATTCATCACATTATATCATTCTAATTATTTATGTGAGCTCTTCTCAGATAGGGGCTATCTTATATTAATTTTTAAAAATCATTTCTGTTTAACACAGTGCCTAAAACTTAACAGAGGTTAAATAAAAGTTCAGCAAATAAAAAGAAGCAAGCAAGTAATAGTCTTAATGTTTTTTGACAAGTAAAATTATACCTGGGATATTAAATTTAGTTTTGGGAGCTATACTTTGAGAGAAATAGAATAAACCAAAGTCTAAATGGTGATCTACATGGTAAAGGAACACAAAGCCATGTCACCTGAGGGTTAGCTGAAAGAACAATGAATATTTAGCATGAATAAGAAAGCAAAGTCTCAGAGCCATTTCTTCATCTGTCCATCCAACAGGTATATATAGTGTGCACCTGTGGTCCCCAACCTTTTGGGCACCAGGGACTGGTGTTCCTATGAGAATCTAATGCTTGATCATCTGAGGTAGAGTCGAGGCGGTGATGCTAGCACTGGGGAGCGGCTGTAAATACAGATGAAGCTTTGCTGCTCACCCACCACTCACCTCTTGCTGTGTGGCCCAGTTCCTAACAGGCCAGTGACTGGTACTGGTCCATGGCCTGGGGTTTGGGGACCCCTGGTATACCAAAGCACTGTGTGGGTGTTGGATACACAACCATAATCAAAATATTGTTCTTGATCCTCATAGAGGTTTATAGTCTAGTGAGGGACAGAGCCCAAACAGCCAATTATTATGAACTCTGGTAAGTGCTACCCTTGGAGACGAGGATACTACAGGAGCCCCTTAGAGGGTTTGTGGAAGGATTCCCAGAGAGAGGAACCTCTAAGAGTCAGCCAAAGAGGAATTTTTTGTTTGTTTCAGAAAGAAAGAAAAGTATGTATAAAAATCTAGAAGTGAGAAAAAGCAGTTCTAACAAGTGAATCTTTTGATATGGCTACTGGATAGAGTTTAAAGAAACAGTTTAGAAAAGAGGTTGTAGATAAAAGCAGTGTTCAGGTATCAGAGAACCTCACACATCACATTAATAATAAAAGGCATTGAAGCGTTTAGGGTGAGTCATTCTGTCTGCAGTGTGAAGAACAGATTGGAGGAGGGAAAAGGTGGAGGCAGAAAAACTAGTTAGGAAGCTGTTCTAACAATCTAGGTACAAGATGATGGTAGCCTGCACTAGGAAAGTAACACAGTGGCAGTGAGAAGGTAGTCCCTAGAGCTGCTTTCTAATAACTAGAGGCTGGTGACTGAAAAACTAACTAAACCTATTCCGTGTGGCCCTAAAAGTTATAAGTATGACTAAAAGAATTTACAAAGAAACAGATATTGGCCCAATAATTATCTGTCTGAATATGATGTGAATTGCCTAAGGAGGTTATAAGTCCCCAACAACTTTGAGTTCAACACAAGACAATTTATAAGAAATTCAAAACTCTGGATTTTGAAATGCTGGGCCAAATTCGATTATTTTGAGGCCTCTTCCAAACTCTAAGATTCTAAAAATCCTCTAATTTTTATTTCATTTTTGATATTTGAGGCTTCTCGCCATGATTTATTTAAAAGGAAATATATAGGATTAATTTATCAGAGGATATGCCTGGGTGTACTAACTCTATTCCCAAAAGAAAAATACACTTTCAAATTTGAACACTACTTTATATACTTTATGTTAAATTGATTATCCACTTTTCACAATTCCCTGTGAAAAAACAGGTTGTTTATACCTTGTCACTGAACTATAACTGTTATTATCATAAGCAACAAAATGCAAAACAGCAGCAGCTATCACTGAGTGCCTTCCACTTGGCAGCCCCATGTTATACTATGTTCAATAGCTCCCATGTTCATTATAACCTGAGAAGTAGGTTTTACTCTCATTTTCTAGATGAGGAAATAGGCTCAGAAAGATTAAGTCATTTTCTTGGATTCACAAAACTGGCAAGTGGGGAATAGGAATTTGAACCAAGGCCTGCTGATTCTTACGTCCATGTTTTTTCTAACACACACCAGCACCTTAGAAGGTAATTTTTTAGGAATAATAAAAAGTGACTATCGTTTATTGTTTTTCAAGTGCTAGGCCCTTTATCTGCATGATTTTGTTTCATTCATTTCTTCAGCTCACATTCACAGAATGCTTCACTTCAAAGAATGTCACAAAATTTGACTTAAAGTCTGAGGATAGTTGCTGAACAGGATGAAAATAATAATCCTTCAAAGTTGAAAAGTATTTGAGAGTTTTTAAGATCTTTTTACATCATTAGCTCATGTAATCTTCTTAATAAACCTGTAAGTAGGCAGAATGGATTATTATTCCCATTTTACAAGTCAGAAAACTAAGGATCAGAGTCACAGAGTTACTAAGTGGCAGAGTTGGCTTTCAAAGAACCCAGAAGTTCTGGCTCCTACTCTAGTGTTCTAATACTTTACATTATCTCCTTTGTCAAAGGGCAATGCAAGTAATATGTTATTGGAATAAAAGGTAGGAGGAAGCAAATAGACAATGATACTAACGGAGCTGAACACATGAAGTTGCAGTAACAAAATATATAAAGATACTTGAACAAAAATTGATAAAGGCACCAGGATATCAATATTCGTGTAACATGTAGAAGGATTTTAAAGAATTCTATAAACACTAATGTTTATGCAGAAAACCCGAAAGCTGAGAAATATTAATACTAGTTTTATTTCTCAAATCTTACTTCTAAAGTACACTATGCAGGGATGAAAACTAAGTATAATATTAATCTGACTCATGTTATTGTATATTTTAGTAGTTTAGTTTTTATTTAGTTGAAAAAATTTTTAAAAAGTTAGTTTTAATTTCAGTTCAATCTCTCTCATGAATAATTTATTTTGGGGAAATCCCACCATTCTGAATTATGGACGGTGGAAGTTTGTTTTAGCTTTGGATTTAGTAAATTAAGAAATTACTTCAGTTGGTTCAGTTCCTATTATCCTTGTACTCTATGTAATTAAATCCTCTCTCTTCCCTTTTTGTTAGCTTGGTCTGTGGCCTCCTGATAAGAGGGCTTGACATGGCGGCTGAAATGAATTACGTGGGCTCAGTAGGCAGACAAGAGCACAGGATCCACTAGTTTATGAGTCACAGACACAGAATTATTTTCCTAGTTGCAATCTAATCCCTGGCTTAATGATTCTCCTTATTTAACGGAAACACAAGAAAAATATCTTACCTAGCTCCAGGATGTCAATAGCTTCTATTAAAAAAAAAATGTTACAGTGTAAGTCATCATGACAAACATACCAAAATGATACAAAAGTGAAGTTCTGGGGTAAATCAAAGGCTCAAGAGTTTGTCCAGTTCAATTCTCTCATTTTAAAAAATATCAAGTTTAGAAGTAGTAATTGTGAAAGTACACCATCCAATTCTGCCTTATTCCCAAGTGTAAACTCTTAAAATGATGGAAGTCCAGAGAGGCTAAGCTAAGTGCCTAAAACTCTGAAGCTAATTTGAGATTACCTGTATTTCAAATCTAAGTTTCCTGATTTCCAACTCAAAACAAAGCACATTGCTTTTGACAGATACCTCTATAAATGACAATATTTGTTTTTGTTTTAACCAGTGAGTTCTTTGTATACTCAGACCTTTAAAAGCAAAGGTTTTATGGTAAGAGATGTTAAATAAAAGTCTTCCATGCTAAACAGAGTTTTTTTCTTACCTCGATATTGGGATGCACACGCTGACAAGTGACCATATTTGTGTTTTCTGACATCATTCCAGTCTATTTCTGTGGGAAAAGAGAAAAGTCATGTGCCAAGAAAATACAAGATTCAATACTTCTCCAATTTAGCAGTATGCATCTATAGTTTTCAATAAAGTAGTCTACTTCTGACTCTTTTCTAAGGTAATAATCCAAAATACAGAAAAAAAGTTTTATTTTTAAAAGTTGCAGTGTTGTTTATACATAAAAAAGGGGAGGCATCTAAATGTTTAGAACAGAAGACAGATTAAGATACTGGAATACATTCGCTTGCAAAATATTTTGCAAGTGAACTTTATAAAGGCTAAACAACATAACAGAAAAATGTTTAAGTTATAAAGTTTTCTGGTAAAATATGGAATAAAAAATTATATTCATGGAATAATAACAATTATGTAAAAAATGAAAAACAAAGAACAATCCTTTATGAGCTGAACTGTGTCTCCTCAACACTGATGAAGTCCTCACTTCCTAGTACCTCAGAATGTGACTGTTTGGAGATGGTGTCTTTAAGAAGTTAATTAAGTTAAAATGAAGGCATCAGGGTGGGCCCTAAACCAATATGACTGGTATCCCTATAAGAAGAGGAAATTTGGACACAGGTACAGAGAAAAGATGATATGAAGAAACAGGGAGAAGATGGATACCTACAAGTCAAGAAGAGAGGACTCAGAAAAAAAACAATATGGCTGACGCCTTAATCTTGGACTTCTAGCTTCTAGAACTGTGAGAAAATAAATTTCTGTCGTTGAAATCACCCAGTCTGTAGTCTTTGTTATGATAGCCCTAGCAAACTAATACAAATTATCATTAGAAAAAAGACAGAAGTAAACACAGCAAATATAAACTGGTTATCTTTGGGTGGTAGTACTGTTTTTTCTTTCTTTCTATTTTCTAATCTTAAATATTTTCAAATTTTCTATAAGGAGAATACATTACTTATGCAATAGAAATACATTTTCCTTGTTTGAGAATTTAGATTCATCTACTGACTCTACCTATCAATCACCCATCATTATTTCACTTCTCTTCCTATATACAGGGCAGATTCTATGGTCCTTCATTAAAATCACTCCCTGGTAAACACTTAACTCCCTCCAATCCTCAATCCTAACTCTGGTTAAAGCCACTTATCTACCTATATCAAGCCTATCCCAAGAGTTCACAAGTGCTGAAGAATGCGAGCTCACTGGTCTCACTTTAAATTCAGGGCTATAATTCTCAAATGCTACTTAACACTGTCTAGAAATCACAGCACATTTTCTACTAAGTTTTCTTTTCCATACTCCAAATAAATAAATAAATAACACAAAATTCATATCCTTTTCTCTCTCCTCATACTCCATATATTCCCTCTCTCACCTTCAGTCTTAGGGGGATGATGTTAATTCAGGGTTCATTGAGAAAACAGAAATAAGGGATAGGATCTTCCTATATGCCTCTCATTTCAGGAAGGTACAGACTTGATCTTGTTTAGTGGCATATCCCCAGTGCATAGTATAGTAGTAAGTGTTCAGTTAATATCCGGTGAATAAATGAAGCTACTTATTCATTATTCTTTCTGACTTCTTTCCTGTTGCTGTGGATGAAGTATCTGTTTTTATCAGAAGCCAACCCTCCATTTTTGCTCCAGATCCCATTTCCTCTCATCCTCTTAAGGACTTTGCAAGTATTCCCCTTCTAACAGATCATTTATATCTTACTATTCCATCGTCTCCTATCAAAACAAACAAACACACAAAAACTCAAACACCTCCCTCCCCAACCCTCTTAATTCCACATAATATCCCTTCTGCTACATTCTTCTGTTTCTCAGCCCTCCTTCATGGGAAAACTTATTTTAAGAGTTGTCTATAGTCATTGCCTCCTCACTTCCTCACATTATTGCCTCATTCAAAAAGGGTTTTTCTGCTTACCACTCCACTGAGATTACTCTCAAATTTATATTTCCAGCAGTGGCCTCTTCTTGGAATTCCACACATATACAATTACCTACAGGCCATCGCTACATATTATCAATCAGACATTTCAAACTTAACAGTTTGAAACACTCTGGCTAAAACAGAATGTCACCGCTTGCCAACCTGTTCCTTTTTTTGTCTTCCCTAAACTAGTAAATGGCATCTCTATCACCTAGTCGCTCAAACCAAGTATCATCAAAATTATCCTTGGTGTCTCTATTTCCTTTACATTCACATCCGATCCATCAGTGAGTTCTGTTGGTCCATATCCCAAATCCATCTACTGCTCTTCATCTCACCACTCACACTCTAGTTCAAGTCACCACTACCTCTTATCTGGAACAGTACAACAGTCTGCTAATTAGTTTTCCTGCTTCTGCTCTTGCCCTACTCTAACCTATTCTCCACACAGGGGTCAGAATGGGCATTTTAAAACATAAAACAGATGATGCCATTTAGCTGCATAAGGACCTCCAACATCTTTCCACTGAGTTAAGAGTACCTTACTATGCAGGATCTGGCTCCTGCCACTTCTCTGATCTTATCTATTATGACTTTTCCCTTTTTCACTACACTCCAGTCACACTGGTCAATGTCCCACTCCAAGTGTGGGCCTTCTCTCCTGGTTTAATGTCTCCTATCTTTCTAGTAATCTGCCATTTTTGTTCTCTTCTAAATCATTACTGAGAATTACAAACTTGATCAAGCTTAAAAATTACTGACAGAGATAAAAGGTATTAGAGTATCATAATTGAATTTATGTTTAAAATTTTTCACAATTATTTTATAATTAGAAGGAATGTACTCTTAAAAATTAAATACCAATATAATAGGAGGGTAAAAAGATACTTACCACTAGGCTGCATAGTCAATGAACTAAAAACTGGTCAACAAGTTAAGAAGTTTGGGATTTATCCCTGGATCCACCAGTACCTTGCTCTGACCTCTGACGTGTTAATTACTCTGTATGTTAATTTCTCCATCTGTAAAATGGGGGTAGGGAGGAAGGAGGACACTTATTACTCTGTAAAGTACTGAGATTTTTAACTATTAACAAGTTAGGCTACATTATAAGAAAAGTAGGACAGTTAGATACAATTTTTTTGCTAATTAGAATATCTCAGGGACAGTACCTTATAGCAAGTATCACAGGTTTAATTCAACTAAGCCTTAATATCCACAGAAATAAAGAATATAGATATTTCCTACGTTTGGTCTCACACAAATACTAAAATATAGTTTCCAACTAACCAGGTTAAGCCAGAAAATCAAGATACTAAAAAAAACCATTAACATGTTGTTATAGAATGATCTGTGTCCCTACAAAAGTCATATGTTAAAAGTCCCAATCTCCAGTGTGATTGTATCTGGAGACAGGACTTTTAAGGAAATAATTAATGTTAAATGAGGTCATGGGGTGGGGCCCTAATCTGATAGGATGGTATCCTTATAAAAAGAGGAAGAGACACCAGAGATCTCTCTCTTTCTTTCCTTCTCCCTCTCCCTGTCTTTTTCTCCTTCTACAAACACATACAGAGAAAAAGGCCAGGTGAGGATATAGCGAGAAGGTGCTGTCTGTACAAGGAGAAAAGCCTCACCAGAAACCAGTTTGCTAAAATCTTGATCTTGGACTTCCAGCTTCAGAACCTGTGAGAAAATAAATTTCTGTTGTTTCAGCCACCCAGCCTTCGGTATTTTATTATGGCAGCCCTCCTTGACTAATACACATGGTCATAGGACAAATGAGGCTGTAGCAATTCTCTGAGAACACTCCATGCAACACTAGTGAGTTTTCTAGTTGCCCAAAAGAAACTTCATTCTTTCTTTTATCACTGTCTAATTTGTAAAATAAAGCAAAACAAAATAAAAATGAAACAAAAAATACTGAATTTGAAGTTAAAATTTTATCCTGTTTAGAATCTCAATTCTATTTTCCATTAAAGCCTTTTTTCCTTAAAGACTTTAGGCAAGTAACTTAACTGCACTGAGTCTAAGTTTTCTTATGAGTAAAACAGGAATGGTAATCTAATGCTACTTGCTTCACTCAGTTGTGAAGAACAAATGAAAAAAAATGGCTTTAAAAGTGCATAATACAGATAATCAGAATTATTAAGGAAAAACTTGCTGTTTACTAGAGGGAAAACTCAGATCGTGAATAATACAATGTACTTATAAAAAGGACATTAGAACCACCTGTTACTAGTTAGCCCCTAAAGATTCTAATATTCACAATTTGAATAACTACTCTAGAAATAATCTGCTAGAATTTCTTCTACTCGGTCATGAGAGTACAGCTCAGGAGTAGAGCATTTGACTGTAGAATTACTTCTACTTTGCTTCTTCTCTCTTTGGTTTCTTCTCACCTGTTGACTGGGACCTTTAAAAATTATGGTAATGTGATCTTCTCAGGTGAAGTGAAAGTGCCAGTATTTATTTCAAAACAGAGTTACGACACTTTGCGGTTAGAAAAGGAAGAGTAACCTGAATCCTTCCATGTCTAGAGCCCTGAAACACTGAGAATAGTCTTTTATATCCTCTTTGATTTCTGACAAAAGAGTGCAAGAGCATAGACTAGTAATACCTAAAGCAATGCCAACCAACAGAACTTTCTGCAATGATAAAAATGTTCTATATCTGCATCATCTAATAGGTAGCTACTAGCCACATGTGGCTATTTAGCACTTGAGATGTGGCTAGTGTGACTGAAGAGTTGCATTTTTAATTGTATTCAATTTTTATTAAATTTAAACAGACACATGTGTCCAGTGGCTACTGTGTTGTATAGTGCAGATCTAGCAAATATAAAGATCCTGGTTTTTCTGGAAACCCTTGAGAGAAAGATAATACATAATATAAAAATCTAAAAGGCTATGGAAGCATCCTTTCAAAATGTGACAAAACAATCACAATAGGTCATACCTAAAGCAAGAAAAAGTAGAAAAAATTCTTCATATATTGTGATATTAAAAAAATTCAGTTATAAATGATCATTTGTGTATTACGATAGTAATAATAATTATTATTAGCATTACATAGCTATTATTTTTAAGTGTTTACTATGTGCCAAATGTTGCACTAAGAATTTCAATAACACCATCTCATTGAATCTTCTCCAATATGATACCACTTAATATGGTATCATTACAACTTTTTGTGAATGAGGAAATGATATCCAGGGAGGTTGAATAACTTTCTAAAAGGATACAGTCAGAAGAAAAGGCAGGATTTGAATGCAAACTATGTCTTTAACAACAGTATCTCTCTTCAAAAACAAACTCATGAAAAAGAAACTTTACAAATGCTTCTAACATAAATAGCCCAGCTTGGGAAGAACTACAAACCACATGTGAATGTGGTTTCACTAAAGTAAAAACTGAAGTACTAATGTTTATTAGCTTGATCTGGGTTTTGAATAAGATCAGGCATAGTCTGCGATTTAATGAAGTAAAATTAGATTAAATAGAGGATATCCATAAGTACTGTGTTTTAAATATTCATAGAGCTTAGAAAATACAAAAGAAGTAACACAGGCTTACATGCACATACCAGTGAGAAAGAGAGGGCGATGAGGAAAGGAGGAAGGGAACAGGGAATGAAGGATGTTTTCCTCACTAATAAAAAATAGAAAAAAGAATCATCGAATGTACTTCTGAAAATCTATTAAGACAGAACAGATCTCTTTCAGTGTTAGATAACAGGTGTAGTTTTAGTAAGCCATAATCTTTTGCCAATATGCACAGAGATTAAATCAGAAAAGCTGGAGTAGAACTGCCCCCACTGTGGTCATAAAGGACAAGCTACAGAGGAGGCAGGAGACAGACAGGGACTGGTCTGGGATATACCACTGATTAGCCACTCTCTTATTAACAAGTATTCCTAGCACCTCTCAGCTGATCCTCTGTTGTAGTTTTAAGCCATAATCTTTTGCCAATATGCACAGAGATTAAATCAGAAAAGCTGGAGTAGAACTGCCCCCACTGTGGTCATAAAGGACAAGCTACAGAGGAGGCAGGAGACAGACAGGGACTGGTCTGGGATATACCACTGATTAGCCACTCTCTTATTAACAAGTATTCCTAGCACCTCTCAGCTGATCCTCTGCCTCCAGTTCTTCATTTACTTTGATCCATTTAGAGATAAGTGTGATAAGATGGTAATATTCCTCTGGGATGATCCACCAGAAGATGGGGGAGGGGAAGCAAGCTAGGCAATCACTTTCTCAAAGAGAGCAATAAATCCTGTCTTGCGCATGTGGCAGATGTGAACAAAGAAGCTGGAGCAGATCTCTCCTTGGTGATCATCCCTCCCCCTACTCGCTCTGTAGCAATTATACATCTCTGCACGTGCACACCAAGAGACGAACCCCCAGAGAACATCAATATTTCCTTTAACAAGCAAAGCAGCTAGCAATGAGTGGCTAATGAAAATGCAGAGAAGCCATAATTCCCTTTGTCTTACAGGCTGTCCTTGTAGACTTCAATTATGTATACTGTTTACCCTTTCCAGAAGATTACAGAGGAGTGATCCTGAGCATAGGAGAAGCTAATGCCTTTTAGAAAGTTTCTGGCTCATGCTTTCTGAACAGTAAAAAAGTTTATTGGTACCCATGGTGCTACATCATACTTCCTGGCAGACATATATACATCTGATTTCATGAAAAAAGTAGTGCTGTACCACCCCCCACCTCTACTCCCTCCTCCTCCATCTCCTCCTCATTCCAGTAAGCACACTTCAGAAGCAGAGTTTTATGTTCAAATGTTTGCTGCAAAGTAACGTGTTTATAAACTTGAATTTTATGTATTGTACTTTGTCCTCCACTCAGGTCAACCATGTCAAAGCCACACTGGTGTCTTTTCCTTTGTGCTTGGTAATCAGTCTATTGGTGTAACATAGAACTATAGGTTTGGAAAAAATGTTAAAGGCCATTCAGTTCAACGTCTCCTCCTGCCTCCAATTTCAACGGTCCTAGCCAATGCTTGAACCTTCCAACATCACTACCAAGTCTTTGCTTATACTTCCAATGATGAAGATCCCCAGGAAGTTTCTTCCATTCTTGGCAGTGGATCTTGGCCTTAGGGAAATGATCCTCAATATTTTTTGTATCTCAATACCCATGAGGGAATCTCATACTTCCATCAGTAATGGTAGTTTCATATAAAACCAAACTTTTAATAGAGGTTCTCTTGTGATATCAAGATGGTAATAAGAGGGAAACTTTCCCTTTCCATTTGTTATACTTCTGTTGGTAAATCTTTCATATATATTATGAATATATATTACTTTAATGCATTCATACATACATTTTTTAAAAAGTGGCCCAAGAGGATAAATGTTTGCCACAGCAGTGATAGGGAATTGGATGGGAACACGTCCTATTAGGGGAACAAAACGGAATGACAGGGAATGATGTGTGTTATGATTCGACATATGACTATAATATATTTGGGGGTAGGGTGTTGAACTGACTGTAATATATCTGGGGGGAGGTTGAATGCCACCTACCTCCTTGAAAAGATAGCCATCACTGCTAATCTCTATCTCAATTGTGTATGCCGGCTCTTTAGGCATTTTAAGAGAACTTTCATGTGTGTAAAGAAGGTTAACAGCTTTCTGTCTCATCAGGGTTAAACTTAATGACTAACTGTATAACATGACTCACTGTATAAGGCATCTGCCTCCTTTTCCTGCCCATTATGCCTAATCCATAGTATTCTATTTGCCTTCCAACATTTCTCTTCTATGGTATGTTCATTTTCTCTTATTATGATGGTTTGGCACACTTCCTAATTACTAAGACTAATTACCTTACTCTGAGCTGAAGGGTACTTTTTTTTTTTTTTTTTTTTTTACTAATAAGGGTATTTTTTTTAATCTCCAGATTTCCCTCCTCTATTATGAAGACTTTGAAGGCAGACAGCCTGGGTTCAGATTTGGTTCTATCACTTATTAGTTGTAAAACCTTGGCCAAGTAACTTGACCCCTAGTGCCTTGGTTTCCTCATGTGCAAAATAAAGACAGCACAGTAATTACCTCATATAGTTGCTGGGAGGATTAAATAGGATACACATAAAGCACTTAGAATAGTATCTGGCACAGAGTAGACAATCAATATTTATTTGTATTGTTGCTTCCTTCTCCTTCTCTTTCATCATCATCATCATCATCGTTATGCCTTGCTACTATTTAGGAAACTACTTTACTACAGGCCCGGAATGTTTCCTTGACAATTTCTTTCCATTGGATTTCTACATTCCCTCTTTCTCAATCCAAAGCATTCCTGACATTTCATCTCTTCAACATAACTCTCTCCGACAAACTGGATTAAAGTGGAACTTTCTTATTTAGCATATCTACTACTATGGCCTGTTCTCATTGCATTATGATATATGCTCATGCTTCATCAATTCATGTTCCTCTTCTTTTCATACCTTTATTCAAAACCCATCTCCTAGAGCAAGGATTGAAAAACTGTTTCTGTAAGGGGCCAAATAGTAAATATTTTCAGTTTTATGAGACTGTTAGCATGAAAGCACCATACATAACACATTAACAATGAATATGGGTATGTCCCAATAAACCTTTATTTACAAAAAAGGCAGCAGACAAGATTTGGCCTATGGGCCATAGTTTGCTGATCCCTGATCTAGAAGAATCCTTCTCTAAATAACTCTGCCTGGCTGTCGTCATCCCACTATTCTATTTCAAGCATGTACTATATTCATTTGTATATGTTTATAAGCTTCTAAGTATTTTTACGTAGTCAGTCTCCTACTTAGATTAATGTACAGATCCTTTAAAGAAAGCTGTTACACCTAGGAGTAATTTGAGGTGTTGAGGATACAAAGACAAATAAGTTCCAGACTATGCTCGCAAAGAACTCACAGGATAGAGAGCTATTCAAATACACAAATATAATATAATATAAATTTATACTGTAATAGTGATTTGCTATACAAAGTGCTCTGGGAAAACAGAAAAGAATGATTAACTTTGCTTGGGGATCTGAGGAAAGCTTCATAAAGGTGATGAAGTTGAGCTAAGATTATCAGAAGAAAGATGAATACACATTTTTGGCAAAGACAATATAGTACAAAGGTACTAAGGCATGGAAATGGACAGTGCACTTGGACAACAGCCATCAGTTTATTATAGATGTAAAGAGATAGGATAAGCTATAGAGACAAATGACAGGAATGGAGCGAGATCTGAATAGAAAAGGAGGTAGGCAGCAACTTGTGAAGAGCCTCATTTGCCATACTAAGTGTTTGGAGTCATATCAAAGATTATGTTAGACATTCAATATCGAGATTTTATTTATTAATGGTATTTAACTTTTTTCACAGCTTCTATATACACTATTTCCAATGTTCATACAGCTTCTGTACTTACATGTCTACTAAATTCTGATACTAGTTATGAATCTGTGATATAGTGAGAAGAGAAAGATTTAGAGGCAAAGATCTAGGACGAAATCTTGCCATTCATAGTAACAAGATTTTGAATAAGTCTCTTAACCCCTCGTTGTTTCCATAAAACAGCAATAGCAATAGTACCCACTTGATAAGATTACTGTAAAGATTGTATGAGATAATTATGTGAAGGTTACTTTGCAAACCACAAAGAGTTGTATAAACGATTTGTGAAATTTGTTAAAATTGCAGGATAAGTTAGCAAGAAAGGGTAAGATTCTTTTATTCACTCTAATCACTTTTTATGACACATACATTCACATACATTTGCACATAGCCTAAGAGAGGATAATTCTCGATTTCAATTATATATAAACACAGGTTCTGACCTTTTCGAGGATCTGATTTTTGCATGGTACCATCACAGTTTTACCAAATAGGAAATTGTTCCTCTTTAGGAAGATGGAGAAATCTAGAAGCAAAAGATAGAAAAAATTAGAAATGTGAACTGCTGTAGATCAAAGAAGACGTGCAGTGAAATTAGGTTTTTATCAGAGGAAACCTGCAGTCTGGACTCCCAGATGGGGTTTCCAAGGGCAGCAATTTAGTTAGGTTTCCAATTTCCAGGATTCTTCCCTCAGCTCTGTGGATTTGGAATCCTGACTCTGTTAAAAATAGAATAGACTTTTGAGGGCAGATCTATAGGTCATTAAACAATGATGGATAAACTAGAATACTAATTTATTAATTTACTGTGAGAAATATAACAGCCATATTGTACACTGAAAACTACAAAACACTGCTGAAAGAAATTAAAGAAATCATATATAAATGGAAAGGCATCTGTGTTCATGAATTGGAAGATTAATATTGTTAAGATGACAATACTACCCAAAGTGATCTACAGATTCAATGCAATCCCTATCAAAGTCCCAATGATGCTTTTTGCAGAAATATAAAAGCCATCCTAAAATTTATATGGAATTTCAAAAGACCCCAGGTAGCTTAAACAATCTTGAAAATGAAGAATAAAGTTAGAAGACTCACACTTTCTGATTTCAAAACATACTACAAAGCTTCAGTAATTAAAACAGTATGGTACTGGCATAAGGAGAGGCATATGGACCAATGGTATAAAATAGAGAGCCCAGGAATAAACCCTAACATATAAGGTCAAATGATTTTTGACAAAGGTGCCAAGACCATCCATGGGAAAAAGATATTTTTTCAACACGTGATGTTGGGAAACCTGGATATCCACGTGCAAAAGAATAAAGCAGAGCCTTTACCTTATACTATACACAAAAATTAACTCTAAATATACCAAGAACCTAAACATAAGAGCTAAAATTATAAAAATCTTAGGAGAAAATATAGGGGAAAATCTTTATGACACTGGATTTGGCAATGATTCTTGGATATGACATCTAAAGCACAGTCAACAAAAGAAAAAACAGAGCAATTGGATTTCGTTAAAATGAAAAACACTTGTGCATTACAGGAAACTATCATGAGAGTAAAAAGACAACCTACAGAATAGGAGAAAATATTGGCAGATCATATATCTGATAAGGGATTAATATACAGAGAACTTGTATAATTCAACAACAAAAAAACCTCAAACAACCCAATTCGAAAATGGGCAAGGGACTTGAACAGACATTTTTCTATTTATCTACACAGATGGCCTATAAGTACATAAAAAGATACTAAACATCATTAACCATTAGAAAAATGAAAATCAAAATCACAAGATACCACTTCATACCCATTAGGATGGCTATCGTGAAAACAAACAAAAATAATAATTTGGTGAGAATGTGGAGAAATTGGAAATCTTGTGAATTGCTAGTGAGAATGAAAAATGGTGCAGCTGCTGTGGAAAATCTCAAAAAGTTAAACACAGAATTACCATATGATCTATTAACTCCACTCTTGGGTCTATACCCAAAATAACTGCAAGCAAGGACTGAAACAGATACTTGTTCATAGCAGCATTATTAACAAGGGGTAGAAACAATCCAAGTGTCCATCAGTAAATGAATGGATATATAAATGTGGTATATACAAACAATGGAAGATTATTCAGCCATAAAAAGGAATAAAATTCTGTTACTTGCTACAACATGGATGAATCTTAAAATACATTATGCTAAGTGAAATGAACCAAAAACAAAAGGACAAATGTTGTATGATTCCACTTATATTTGGTAACTAGAATAGGCAGATTTATAGAGGTAGAAAGTAGACCAGAGGTTACCAGAAGCTGAGCAGAGGAGAGTTATGATTTAATAGGTTCAGAGTTTGTTTGGGATAATGAAGAAAATTCTAAAGATGAATAGTGGTGAAAGCTATATAACATTGTAAATGTACTTACTGTGTTTAAATGGTAAAAATGGTAAATTTTATGTTATGTATTTTACCACAAAAAAATGAAAAGAAACAGGCAACAGATGGGTCTGCACCAGGATCTGACAGTCCCATTCATCCACCTTACACGAAGAATATAAAAAACTTCAGAAGGATTCTCAAAAAATTAAGTTCTGGAGTTATAGCATTCCTTTTCCTGGGTAATCCTAGATGTAATATACTATCTATTTTCTTTATGACCTCTCATTTAGCATGTTTTCAAGCTATCTTCTGATAAACACATCCTTTCTTTGGATGACAATACTATCTATATTTAGCAAGTAGTACAGATAGGCTTTGAATTTGAATATTAGCTATGTAAACTTGGACAGGATATTAAATGTCTCTGGACTCAATTTCTGCATCTTTAAAGTGGGAATAATAGCGTCTATTCCAAAGGGTTGAGGATTGAATGGCATTATCTATTTTAATGAATTAATATAAATAAGTATCTGATAGATAAGGGGTACTTTCCTACCTCCCTAACTTTTTGTCATATCACTGATCACTGATGAAATCAGTCAGTTTTCTGTATCTTGGCTCCACTGGCATCTACAATACAATCATCGCCACAGCTCTCTGGTTTAGATGGCCTCGCTACTATACCAGAAAACTTCTCTCAAAGGCCAATGTCCAAAGACCAAAGCAAATGCAAATTCATATTCTGCCTATCTTATAAATCTCTCCTATTAGCATTCCATCCTCCCTGAGGGCAGAGACTGTCATAGGCTTATTTTATATTCCACACATTGCCTAGCAGAAAAAATAACTTTCTTAATTCTTTAAATTGAATTTTCAACAATTCTAATTTTTTTTATAATAGGATCTTGCATAAATTTCCAAGTATACAAGTTCTATTTCTATACTTGTAGTATAAAAACAAAATAAAACAGTAAGTATGGTTCTCTTTCAGTGATAAAAAACTAAGCAAAATATATAAGGTGTTACAAGGCATGATAGTGACCATTTCAAAGCCTTCTACACTATAATTGGCTTGTATTAAAAGTACCAGAAATAACAGAATAAGTCCAATATCCCACTATAAAAAAGTTCAATAATGACATTGATCTAAGGCAAAATTATATTACACAAACTAGGAAAATATCCATTTAATCTCCATTTACAAAGTAACACATCAAATCATGTAATTATCAGAGAATAGCATCAAGTCAAAATTCATATTCTTGACTTACTCTTAGAAGACACTGGTCAGACATTCAATGTCACCCTGTCTAACTGACCTAAACTCCTTCAACTACACCAATTAGGATTACCATCAGAATATATTTACAAAACATGCATAGGTATAAAACCGGAATTAGGAGACAAAGAACCATAACAGAACAAAGAAATTGAAAGGTTACAGGAAAGGAGGGTAGGATCATTTTAAATAAACTTTCATATTGGTAACTAATGGAACTATCATAAGAGAAAGGAAAGAACTATGTGCTAGGTTCTATACTAATAAGCACTTTAAAAATGACTCTTTTTGTTAAAGTATTATATATGCTTTTTGAAAAGTACACAGATCATAAGTATGAAACTCAATGAACTTTTACAATGGGTCTCCAAACCAAGAAAGAGATCATTACCAATGCTTAAAGTACTCCTTTGTGTTCTCTCCCTGTCATTACTTCACCCAAGAGTAAATATTATCTTGACTTCTATCACTGTAGATTAGTTTGCCGGTTTTAAACTTTATATAAATAAAATTGTATCACGTGTACTCAACATTTTATTTTTGAGATCTGTCCATGGTGCTCCTACTAGGCATTTTTATATTTAAAGCACCCAATAATTATGACCCATTTAACTTCAGAACCAAGGTTCTGAAGTTAAACAAAATTAATTAAGGCACCCAAAGTCACATGACTACTAAATGGGAAGGCTAAAAGTAAAGATTGTCTAATTTCAAAGTTCATGCTTTTTTAGCTCCACTATGATAGCCCACTACATAGTTTTAAAATATGAAGAAGTCAATCCCTTCCCTAGTTTACCTATCATAGGCTATATATATATATATGTATATGTATATAGATATACGTATATATGTTTGACAAATTAGTCAAGTACTATGTAAATATAAGAAATTATTATTAGCACAAGGAAAGAGCTACCCAGGGCAGTGGCTTTCAAACCATTTTTGATTGTGACTCATAGACTTAAATTTAGGAGTTTTTACAACAATATGCATTTCTGAAAAATCTTATATTCTGTAAAAATCATGCAATAAAAAATGAACTTACGGGAAAAATAGAGTTAGAAACAGACTACTAAAAGCCCATGGAACTTTGTATCCTTTACACACATACACATACACTATAAGGACCTGAATCATTAAGAAAAGGTTAAATTAGGGTCAATAAACTTAAAAAAAAAAAGAAGTGCAATCCATTTTAGAATAATTTACAACTAAAATGATTTTTTAAAATAAAGTCTTAATGTGTAATAAATGAAACGAACCTGTAACTATCCAGAACATTAAGCTTCTAATTGTGACTTACTTCCCCAAGGATTTCTGGAGTGAAGATTTGAATGCATGTCACCATCTGCAGATAGAAGCATTTAACAGAAGCTTTTCATGGTGACAAAATTAAAATCTGAGGTCAGAGTCACATGGCTTTGGGGACGCATAAGAGATTAATAACCTGTTTACCATTTTGTATCTGTTCACACTGTCCAAGTACACCTTTGAAAGATGCATATGATACAAGGTACCAGAGATCTTAAGATCATCTTTATTAGAGTCTAAGAGGATAGAGTCCTGAATAGAAAACTACCTCCTTAAACATAGAGCTCTGAGAATAGCTTAAATCCTCTTCTTCTTAGGCCATAAAAACAGGTACATAAAGTAAAGCTACTCAGGGAATTGCCCTGACGCCCATTTCTGGTTGGAAAATTGGGTTCATTGGCAAAGCCACATCTATAAGATATTCTGTAACACCCCTAAAGTCTCAGGCTCTTAGCCTTAAAAAAATGAGTTATGAATGCTTGGCATTACCCATGGTCTTGTATGAAACTTACAGAATTACAAACTTGGGGCAATTATGGTTTCTCTATACCAAGAAACTGAGGTGCAACTT